AAAAAAAAAACTTCAACAGAAACACCAGTGGGATGCCCTTAGGCAGCATGGTGTCCCCCACACACACACACAAAAAAAATAAGGCTAGAAACAAGATATAGAAGCAACCTAATGTCCATCAGTAGATGAATGGATAAAGAAGATGTGGTACATACGCACAATGGCTGAAATACTATTCAGCCATAAGAGAGAAACAAATCCTCCCATTTGCAGCAACATGGATGGAGCTAGAGGATATTATGCTCAGTGAAATAAGCCAGGGGGAGAAAGACAAATGCCATACGATTTCCCTCATTTATGGAGTATAAAAACGAAGAAAAACTGAAGGAACAAAACGGCAGCAGACTCAGAGACTCCAAGAAGGGACTAGTGGTTACCAAAGGGGAGGGGTATGGGAGGGAGGGAGAAGGGGATTGAGGGGTATTATGTTTGGTACACATGGTGTGGAGGATCACGGGGAGAACAATGTAGCACAGAGAAGGCACATGGTGGATCTGTGGCATCTTGCTGCACTGATGGACAGTGACTGCATTGGGGTATGGGTGGGGACTTGATAATATGGGTAACCACATTGTTTTTTCATGTGAAACCTTCACAAGAGTGTATATAAATCATACCTTAATAAAAATTATAAAATAAGGCTAGAAAATAAAGTACCTAAAGGATTGATTTCCCAATGTGGATTGAGGACCGGTTTCAACTGGCTACACTGGTTTTATCTGGGGAGCATTTAAAGATAAGATTCTGGGGGTCTGTCCCCTGAGCTGCTGCCACCAGGGAATCTGCACCCTTACTTTATGCTATAACACTGAAAAGTTATGTTTTTTGATGTTTATTTATAAGGATTCATATCAACTCTGTTCCTTACAAAAATAATTCTCATATCCAATCCATAGTTGTCTCTCCTCCAGACTAGATACACATGAACAGAATCTTTGTTAACCACTTCTTTTTTTATCCAATTATTTTATATTTTTTAATCAATAAAATTTTCCCCGATTTTATTGAGAAATAATTGACATACTTCACTGTATAAATTTAAGGCAGACAGCATGATGGTTTGATTTACATATATTGTTAATTGAGTACCCCAATAGGTTCAGCTAACATTCATCTTCTCCAATAGATACAATAAAAAGAAAGGAAGAAAAGAACGGAAACAAAACTTTTTCCTCCTGATGAGAACTCTTACTGGAATTTACTCTCTTAGCGAACTTCCCTGTACATCATACTTCAGGGTTAGCTGTAGTCATCATGTTGTACATTACATATCAAGTACTTACTTAGCTTATCATTGAAGGTTTTGACCACCTTCAATTCTCCCTCACCTTCCTCCTGCCTCTGGTAACCACAAATCTGATCTCCTTTTCTATGAGTTCATTTTTTTTAAAATTCCATATATAAGTGAGATCATGCAGTATTTGTCTTTGACTTATTTCACTTAGCATAATGCTTTCAAGGTCCACCTATGCTATCATAAATTGTAGGTTTTCCTCATTTTTTCTGGCTGAAAATATTTAATTGTATATAATGCACCACAACTTCTTTACCCATTCATCTATGAGTGGACACTTCAGTTGTTACTGTCTTGGATACTGTAAAGCTGCAGTGAACATGGGAGTGCAGATACCTTCTGAGTTAGTGTTTTTGCTACCTTTGGACATATTCTCAAAAGTAGAATCGATAGATCATATGCCAGTTCTATTTTTAACTTTTTAAGGATCCTCCGTACTGTTTTTCATAGTGGCTGTCTGAATTTACAATCCCACCAACAGTGCACAGAGGCACTTTTCTCCACATCCAGGCCAGCATTGGTTATTTCTTCATTCTGATTACGACCATTCTAACAGACATGAGGTGATATCTCATCATGATTTTAATTTTCTTTTCGACTAGATGTTGAACATCTTTTCATGTTCCTGTTGGCCTTTCATATATCATCTTTGGACAGATGTCTATTCCTTTGCCTACTTTTAAATTGGGTTGTTTTTTTGCTGTTGACTTATAAGAATTCTTTATATGTTTTTGGGTATTAACCCCTTATCAAATATATGGTTTGCAAATAATTTTTCCCATTCCCTACGTTGTCTTTTCTCTTTGTTGATGGTTTCTCTTGCTGTGCAGAAGCTTTTTAGCTTGATGTAATCTTATTTTTTATTTTGTTGCTTGTGCTTTAGATGTCAGGATATAAAAAAAATCATTACCAACACTGATGTCAAGGAGCTTTCTCCCCATATTTTCTTTGAGGAGTTTTGTGGTTTTGGGTTTCATAACATTTTTAACCCTCAGTTTCAAATTCCAGAAATTAATAAAAATCTTTCTTTTCACATCCCAAGGGGTAATCTCATGGAAAGAAATATAATAAATGGTTATTTTTAAATTTTTCTATCATATAGACCAAAAATTATAGTTTGTATAAATTGTTGTTTTAAAAATTATATATTGAAATAGCTAAGGAGAAGACCAAGATATTTTAACTCTTCTTTCTCAACTCTTTAAACTTCTTATGCTTTGACAGTCTGTTTTGAAGTTTATTACTTGAATGGTAATGGCTGTATTTCTCCAGAGGAAATATTTGACATGTTGAAGAATAGTCTACACCAATTGTCATCTGAAGAAGAAACTGATGAAGGAGTAAAAGAGTTAGTAGATTAACTCTGAAGAAAATGGTAAGAATGAAAAATTGTAGTTAATTACATATAATCAAGGGGATGTTGGGTAAAACAAAAATGAAGAAATGATTTGTTTGCCCTCACTGTAAATGTAACCTTTATGAGGGCAGCGTTTTTGTTTGCTCTCTGCTATCCATTGCTTAGAACAGTACCTGGCTGTTAGTGTGTGCTCAATAAATATTTATGGCATGGCTGGGTGATTAAATGAACCACTATGCAAATGAATGTTGTATCATTTTAAAATATTTTACTATAAGTAAAACCTCATTAATTGGGGGCAGGGGAGAAATTTAGTTCATATAAAATTGGATGCTACTCTGGGGCATGTGGTGGGGACTTGATAATCCTCTAATCTATCTGAACGCTCATTTTAATAACATAATACAAAGTCCCTTATAGAGAACTGACTATGTACCTACCAGGCCCTTCACAGACCTTGATACATGAATTCATTTCACCCTCAAAACAACCCTGTGAAGTAGGAATTATTATCTGTTTTGTAGGTGAGAAAGCTGAAGTAAAAAGTTTCACTCAAGGTCACACTAGAAAATGGGGTTCAGAATCCATCTTTCAATGAAACAAATTATACCTGCTTATTAAGGACATAGTGATTTCTTTCCCTTTCTTACTATGACCCTGAACTGGATCCCAGTAAAGGCTTGTAACTATAAGGCAGCCCAGGTCCAGCTAACCTTTATTACACTGGAGCTCAGGAAAGACAGATGGTGGGGGCTGTCGAGTCTGATTCAGCTAACAGAGACTCCAGTCTTCTATTAGAAGTACTCCGGCTAGCTGCAGGGAGGGCTGAGGGAAGACTTCTTGAGAGAGTTTCCCAGTACCAAACCCACCCCCTTCTTTTTTGAAAGAAAATGTTATGAAGTAAACCTTTTTATGACAATTATTCAAACCTTTCTCTAGATTAGACTTGCAGCAACTGATTTGGTTATGTCCAGAAGTGAAAATACAAGGACCCATCAAATCAAATCTAAGTTCATTTAAGCACTTACAGGCATTAATAATCTAAACATGCTCCCTCATTATAATCTCGTCATTCCTGTCATGAATGCTTCACTCCACGCAAGTCTGCCTTGCTGACTTACACTTCCATGTAATGTCATAATTCAGGTTGGGCCATCCTTCTGCATTTCTTCCCCACCTATCTCCATGCCAACCATCCTCAGAGGCCTAGGAGTAGTCTGCAAGCTTCTTCTCATGACTCTAGGTCTTCTTGAACTGTTGCTGTTCTAACTCCCAGAACCTTGCTCCTTAACTGAGCAACTTCATTTTTATCCTATCTCCATGATGGGTTCCCAAGTTAGAGATCTTATGAGGAACAACTTCTACTAAAAATTAAGCTTGAGAATCCTTGCCTTATGGTACTTATTTTATCACAAAATTAGTGATACCTCTAGTGTTTTATTTCCCCAATTATGTATGTAAATCTTTTAGGGACAGGCCTACATTTTACTTATCTAAGGTGACTCGGGTGTCTTAGTCTGCTTAACAGAATACCATAGACTGGAGGGCTTAAACAACAGGAATTCATTTCTCACAATTCTGGACACTGGCAAGTCCAAGATCAAGGTGCCAGTCAATTCACTTCCCTGTTGAGAGGGCTCCTTTCCTGGCTTGCAGACAGGCACCTTCTCAGTGTGTCCTCACATGGCAGAGAGGGAGCTCTGGTCTCTCTCTATTTACAAGGACATTAATTACATTATAGGGGTCCTAGCTTCATGACCTAATTACCTCTGAAAGGCCCCACCTCCAGAGAGCATCTCACTGGGGGCTATGGATTTACATGAATTTATGGGGTGGGGGAGGACACAACATTCAGTCCATAATATCAGATATGACTAAATTAGTAGGAATAAAGTTAATAAAATAAGTACCTCTTGATTTATGTAAGCAGTGCCTATAGAAGTATGAAGTTACATACAGCCTTATTTGGTAAAACCTTTTATTCTAGACATTTTCCATGCAAAATTCAAAACTATCATTTATCAAGAAGCCATCTTCCTGTCTAGGATTATGATAACGATGGCAAGATATCTTTTGCAGACTTTGAAAAAGCAGCAGAAGAGGAGAGACTTGGTGGTGGTGTTTGGACCATGTTTACCAGAAGCAAAGGTAGTGTCAACAGCCCAAAGTAGTTGAGGAAAAATTTTAAAGGATCAGAAAGTAATACTTGCTAAATGTTCACCTCTGTAGGACTTCAGCCCACTGCTGAAGTTCAGGTACCCATGAAGGGCTCAGCCCCTTCCGAGTATTTTAGGACCCAAGACAGTAGAGACTATTTAAGTAATTATATTCAATAAGCTTTTTGAGCTTGTAACCTTAGATGTATGTACACAATTCCTGATTTCCTGTATGTTAATGTTATTTTCCCAATGAAAACCAGGTATATTGGCTTACTTAAGGGGTAGAAGAGTGAATAAAGAGTGGATTCAACAAGTACCCACTATAAACTGCTAGAAAGCTTAACATCTTTCAACTCAAATGTTGTCAATTTTTTAAAAGTTTGGATACATATATAATACTTGATGGTATTTAATGTCTGCTCATGAAGGCTTTTCATGTATGAATTTGACAAGTTTTCTGAGCTGGAAGAGCCAGCCTAATAATTGATTTCACTCATTAACATTTCTTTTCTTTCTTTAATCAACTGTGCTTTGCAAACATACAATATAGGAAGAATCTTATCTGAAGTAATTTAGTTGACTATGAACAAACTTGCATAATATTACGCTATCTCAGCTCTTTTCTCTAACTTGCCCCACTGTAGCTTATTCCCACACTGTAATTCTGTCTAGAAATATAAGGTAAAAAGCAATGTGTGAAAAGGCCAGACTTCTTGTTTTGGGACTGATAGGTGCCATTACAGAATAATGGACTGGATTGGAGTAACTACTCAAGTTTGGCTGGAACACCAACAGTTCTTCAGCTTCTCCTAAGTTCATCTGTAGCCCAGCTATCTACAGCCTTGCTACTCTGTAGTCTGTACACCAGGGACAATTGGTATCATCTAGGAAATTGTGAGAAAGGCAGTCTCAGACTCCACCCTAAGCCAACTGAATCAGAATATTTTCTTCTTGCCACAACAAACTCTGAACATACCAGTTAAGAAGATTCATGTTATGACCTACTGATTCAACCTTGCCAGGATGGCTGTCAGTGGTGGTCTTTAACTATAGTCAAATGTGGTGTTTGCCGTCGGGGATGGGGAGGAGCGCTGGCCTCCAGACACAGGACAGATGAGAACCTATTCAAGAGCACAGAACCCATTTAGCAGCTCCTCCCTTCAGGAAAAGAGAATTTTTTTTCAGTTGTAAAATACACTTAAAACTTAACATCTTAACTAATTTTAAGTGCACAGTTCAGTGGCATCACACACACTCACAGTTAGGCAGCCAGTCTCCAGAGCTCTTTTCATCTTGCAAAACTGAAACTCTGTGCTCATTAAACAGCTCCCCATTCCCGCCACCTGCCAGCCCCTGGCCACCACCATCAGAATCTGCATTTTATTAAGACCCTGAGGTAGAGATTCATAGAACCTTGGTCTGAGAAGCCTGATCCAGACAGTAGCTTGCTCATTCCAGTTCTAGGCTCAGCTCTCTACTGTACCTTTTACCTGAAAATTCAGAAAAAAAAAAAATCTAATTACAAGGAAGTAGGTCCAGACCCCTTGTACACAGCTTCTTTTAATATCATCCACTTAGAGCCATCCTAGCAAGTTTGAATCAGTAGGTCATAACTGAAGATGAACCTTCTTAATTAATAGGTTCAAATTTAATCCATTAAGCAAGAGGCCCTTAAGGATAGGGAGAAGAAAACAGACACTATTGGGTATGGACATTCTCAAGTTATTTTTATCAGTAAAAACATGAGAATAGACTGGACATACTTGGATTTCCAAATATGTGGTCCACTGATAATACAAATGTGGGTGTGCCAAAAGTAGTGGTAGAAATCTAGAATTTACAAATATTGATTTGTTTCTGCATAGATCAAGTGAATTCTTCCTAGAGGTAAACTAAAGCATGTATGCTTATTTCAGATTGTTCTAACAGCTTATCTTTTTTACTTTACAGAACTGTCTTGATTTTGAAGCCATGGCATTCAGGCACATCCTGAATTCTAGTTTTTGAGTATGAATCACTTAATGTTTGTATTAAAATCAGAAACAGATCCTGGTTGCCTATCTTTATTTGTACTGTAAAGTTTCTATCTTTGCTTCACCTAACTTACATTTAGTTACTGCAATGTGAGGGGTAAGGTTATAAGAACAGCTTCTGTGAATATTAAGCATAGATCAAAATAATATCCTATAGTAAGTAATGTTAACTAATTTTATTTATTTATTGTTAACCAACAACCTTGGATCTTGTGGTAAATGCTATGAGCCAGCCATTTACAACTCTTTTTTGCTTCCTCAACCATCAAAGTTGGAAACCTAAGACACTCACCATTCTAGATTCCTCAGGTGGGAATAGGCATGGGCCCATTTCTAGCCAGTAAGAGTAACCAAAGGCGTTGGGTGGAGCTTCTGGAGAAGTTCTATTTCTTTTTTTAAGTTGCATCCTTGGCTGGCACGTAATTTGTCCATGACAAACTAATTTTAAAAGATGAAACTATACTAGAAAAGTAGCTTGAATGGAATTAAGAAGGAGTGCACTAAATAAATACCAGCCATAAAATCTCTTCAAGAATTAAAATGACAGGCTACAAATACAAAATAGTCTCCTAGAAAATACTGATTTGCTGCTGACAATCTATATCCTTCTTCTTTGTTTTAATGGATAACTTGTGTGTACATCTTCCAGCTTGTCCTCTGGAGGCTTTGGCACAGGTGAAGTTACCTAGTTTAAAAAAAGAGAACCACCAAAACTTATTATTTATAGTACAAGACTAAATAAACTATTAGAAGAAATAGTCTATACATCCAGTAGTTCAATCCTTGTCATCACGTTTGAGGCAGAGTTAATCCAAGTTCAAGGTACATCCTATGATCTAGGCACAAAGCAAAAGTTTTCTGTCTAAACATTGGTAGGAGAACACTTCTAAAGTCAGTTAACAAAAGAAAAACTCTTGAGGGGAGAAAAGTGAATATATACTCTATTTTACCGTTCCTTTAAATATCTGAAATCACTTATTTTATGGATACTTATTTTATGCATAACCCTGGTTATGCATAACTTGAAACTCAGACAATATCTGCTTTATTTACAGACAAGGAGGCTTGAGGGGGAGAGTGGAAAATTTGGAGAAATAAGCAGAAAATGGTACAATCCTCAATTTCTTAAGAAACTTATATTAACTTAGAACTTAAGAGAAATAAACTGTAAATTTTCCTTAACCACAATAATTTTCTTCTTTGGCTATCTGGGGAGATGTAGGGAGCTTTAAAAAAGGGAGGGCCTGAGCTACACACTCACAGGTTGATCTAACTGACTGAAATCACTGCTTTTATATTTCATATCTATAGTAGTATAAAATATGTTCTGTTCATTGTTTAAAGCTAAGATTAATGCTATCAAAGCAAATATGTTTGTTGGTCAAATTCAGTAAATTCAACAGAGACTTTCAAGAGAACACATAAAAAACTAAAAATGAAATAAAAAATTAATGACAATGACTATAGCTCCCACAAACAATTCTCCATTTAGTTATTTCTTAGTCCTGTAGCCAAATTGTCTTGTAAAACAGCTGTCTTAGGAATGATCGTACCTCTTTCAGTTTGTTCCGAATTAAATTCGCTGTTGTATTCAATGAGTCATCATGCATATCTGCTTTAGGGATGTCTGGTAACAGAGGGCCAATCAGAACCCCACTGCTACTTGTGGTTTCAGGACAAGTTCCAAGTTTCCGATCATCTTCTCTTCTCCTTTTCCGCTCCTGCAGTTGTGTTGTCCTAGGCATGAATCTGTCAACTGCCTCTGAAGGAATAATAGTCTTCTGTACGTGAGGGCAGGCCACTGAGTTTTTAAAAGTTTTCATTGGTATTTTCTGCAAAGAGTCACTGTGGTTATAATGCTGGTTGCTAGCATCCTGAGAGAATTTTGATCTGTCCACATGCTCCCCTGACGAAGAAGTACATTTTGAGGAGAAATAACATAAAGGCAATTCACAAGAATAGGGAAGACAAGGATCTGAGTTCTTGTCAGATGTGGCTGTACAAAATCCAGATGTCTCTGAATGGAAGTCCTGTCTAAAATCTTCCTTCTCTTTGTTATGCTCTGTCACCGGTTTCTTCTTTGACATGTAATAATCTTTATATTACAATTTAAAAGGTGCGGGAAAGGAAAACAGAAATGGTTCATTTGTTTTCAGCATTCAGAAATGTGTAATTTTAAAAACACTACTTTAAAATGTTAGCATTTTAAAATTTACTGAAAAATTTCTCTCTTGAGCAGGCAATACATTCATGTGTTTAAAAGCTAAAAAGGATAAAAGAATACTAGTGTCAAGCTTCACTCTTCCCTTGCTACCCCCCATATGCCTGGCTTCCACCCCCAAGTAATCACTATTCTTACTTTATCTGTCCAGTGTATCTTACTTTTCCTCCTCCCATTTACCCCTTTTTAACTCCTGTAATACCCATTTCTCTGCACCTCTGCATTATCTACTTAACTGTAGCTCCTAAGAGAGCTTTTCCATTTCATCACATAAAATCTTTTTTTTTTTTACAGCTTTAGAGTATTACACCATATGAATGTATTGTGCTGCTTAGTTTGTGTTTGTTAGTTTTAAATGGAGGCAATATGCTGGGCTCCTATCTTGTAATTTCCTTTGCCACACACACATACAAGTTTTCCTAGAGCTAGTTATTTATGTTAGAGCTAGAGCTAGTTCAATGTCTACAAATGACCACGGACTCTCAATAGTTCTCTTGATAAATTTTCAGGAATGTTTTCCAACAGTCTTCCCACCTTATTTCTCTCTTCACTTCTACTACATACTTCTTCCCAGTCAGCCATAAACTTACCATATTCAATATCTGTATGGACACTAACTTTGTGTTTCACCTAAAGGGTGGAAATTTGGTAATTAGAGCTTCTAGTACTATTTAGATTTCAGACCGCACAAATTATCTTAGTCCAATTCTGACTGCTGTAGTCTTTTAATACATGTTCCAGGTTCCATGACTGTATTCCAGATACTTGGAATTTGTGTCTAGGGAAACTCAGTTGGGCATATGGGGCATTTGTTCAGCTGCTAGTAAAAGTGGACCTTTTCTACTTTTAACAGTTTTAGATTAGCAGCTGGTAACTGGTCTGTATAGTTCTTTCTCACTGCCTTTAGGTTAAGTCTCAATTCCTTAGCATGGAACACAAAGCCCTTCATGATTTACTCGCTGTCCACTTTTCTAATTTCTCACTAAAGCCCCTAAAGTAACACAGACTACC